AAACCACGTCCTATCCTGGAGACTACCAAACTCCTGCTCATCGCTCCAGACTGAGCTTGTTGCCACAGCCAACACCCTCGACTTCTTCATCCAGCAAGGAGCTGACCATGCCCTAATTCTCTCTGACTCTAAAGGCGCTTACAGGCCATCAAGAAGCCACTCCTCAGAGACAATATACGCATCATCACCACCATCCTCAGCCACTACCACAGGACAATCAGCCTTGGAAAAGCCATCACTCTTGCCTGGATTCCCAGCCACGTCGGCATCAAGGGAAATGAGGAAGCCGATCAAGCCGCCAAACAAGCCACTCTCAGAGCAGAAATCCAGATATCTCTGTCTCCTGGGATGCAACAGATAAAAAATAAAGCCACCAAGTCACTCCTTAACACCTTAATAACTAAACACAACCTGTGCACAGACATTGGCTCCCCCTCCACCTGGTGGTACAAAGCCACCACTGATCTTCAGCGTATCACCCTGCCTAAGAGCCTTCGACGAAGCACGGAGGTCAATGTGTACCGTCTGAGACTCGGGTACAAGTGCACCTGGCGAATAGTGGAGGACATCATCAGGGAATGCACCTTTTGCCAGGCAGCCTCACCACATCCACTGCTCCATTACATCCTTGAATGTGATTCCTTTTCAGAAATTCGACGGAAAACAGGTGCCCCCGCAACATCCAGCGAAGATCCAAATGCCCTTCAGATAAACAGAATACAGAAGCTTATTAATTTTGCAGCTCGAGTTGCCCTGGGAGGAATAAGAAAATATGACCACATCACACCAGCTCTCAATAAACTTGGGTGGCTGCGGGCAGAAAATAAGGTCGCTTATGCTATTTATGTTTTTGTATTCAAAATTTTGGACCATCATTATCCTAGCTGGCTATTTGATTTAAAAACAGTCAGGGATATAAGGGGAACCAACACAAGACAGAGCAGTGAGCTCTTTATTCACAGAACAAACACAGAAGCAGGTTCAAAGATGATCACTATAAAAGGGCCAACACTCTGGAATAATATTCCAGAGCATCTTAAAAATGCATCCTCCTTCACAGCTTTCAAAGGCAAACTATATAGTTTTCTTTTGGACAAATAGTTGCTGCTCATTAAGAACTAATTATTCTCATTGTAAGGAAACAAATATGGAAATGATGCCAATAATAACAATCCTGTATCTAGTGGCATACTTACTACTTTATTATTAACATTAATGTTAACATTTTTATTACAGCATTATTATTTTCTATGAAAGCTACATTTAATTTAACTATATGTCTAACCCTCTTATTTATTAGTTTAATTACATGTCTACTTATAAGTTACTATTAATGTTGAATAACCATTGTACAAAATGGAAATAAATGTTTTGATTTGATTTTTGATTTGCTAGCTCCATCATCAGACTAGCAACAAACAACTACATGAACAGTCTACTAAATATCATCAAACAATACCCTCCACCAAGATAACCATGCAATAACTCTCTCTCACCCCCAAAACAGGAATTCATTTAAATTGTTTGATGGAAATTAATAATCCACAACTGAATACTTATGCTCTCCATTATCTTTACAGTTTTGCAAAACCTCACCTGCGGGCCAATTAGGAAAGTCCGATCACCAACAATAACAAGATTTCACCCCACCTACTCACCAAATAGGAAAGCCCATTCGCCCGCAAGAGCGAATACCACGTACACTCCAAAAAAAAAAAAATCTCACCCGACCTGCGGGCCACAAGGGAAGGTCCGCTCACCCTCAAGGGAGAACATCCAAGCAAAAAAAATCCACGTTAATACCTATGGTAAGCAAGCTAATAATAATAATAATAATAATAATAATAATAATAATAATAATAATAATAATAATAATAATAATTGCGACCTTGTTTATAAGGGAAATGACAAAGATAGATTAGATAGAGTACATATCAGTGGCAGCGTTCGTTTCACGGCAAATCCCACAAAAGGGGTTGGGTGAGGAATTATATATATATATATATATATATATATATATATATATATATATATATATATATATATATATATATATATATATATATATATATATATATATATATATATATATATATATATATATATATATATATATATATATATATAAGAGAGAGAGAGAGAGAATACGTATCAGTGGCAGCATTCGTTTCAAGGAAAATTCCATAAAAGAGGTTTGGGTGGGGAAGGAGGAGAGAGAACGTATAAAACTAAATAACAAGAGAGAGAGAGAGAGAGAGAGAGAGAGAGAGAGAGAGAGAGAGAGAGGAGAGAGAGAGAGAGAGAGAGAGAATACGTATCAGTGGCAGCATTCGTTTCAAGGAAAATTCCATAAAAGAGGTTTGGGTGGGGAAGGAGGAGAGAGAACGTATAAAACTAAATAACGAGAGAGAGAGAGAGAGAGAGAGAGAGATTGGTGGTAAAGAGGTCCTTTCAGTTAGTTTCAGGACATGGGAAGAAATGTTGTTTGTTTAATTTATTGCACCCTATACCGTCAGTCAAGTACATAAAAATCATAAAACATTTCAAAACAATTTTTGAAACAAAACGAGCAAGTCTTCGCAAGAAGTCATTTCTATACAATTTATATACCATCATTTACATGAGCTTGAAGGCATTACTTACACCATAGTCTATACAAATTATACATACATACATATACCTTGGCTGTTTCCCCCTTTAATTGGGGGGTAGCCGACATCAAAAAAGGAAAACAGTTTGGGGAGAAGTTATTCTCCCCTCTACTCCCCCTCTTCTTTGACGTCTCACAGGAGGTTGGTACAAGGGGGGGATTCCTAGTCCCCCCGCCCCGTCCACTTTTAGTCGCCTTTTACGACACGCAGGGAATACGGTGAGGCTATTCATTATACAATACAGTATATTTTATCTCCTATTTTTTGAGTGTGACACCAGGACGGGCCAAACGAAAAATAAAGAAATAAATAAACCTGCCCTCATCGGGTCTGGACACGAATAAACCATAATGTACACAGAAAGAGAGATGGAGAGTGTTGTGACTTATCAGATGTGAAGGAATAATAAGAGATGTGTAACGTATATCCGTGAATACTCGGTGATAATGTAGGAAAAGAAATAGAACTGTAACTGAAGGCGGATATTTATTATTAAATTAATAGAAACAAATAACAAAATAACAGCTTAAAGCTGTTGTCTGATTAATAAATTGCGCACCACAACACCAGTCAAGTACATAAACAATGAAACTAAATAAAATTTCTGCAAATCGTGTCATAGCCACATACGGTATGTTGAAGGCATTTACAACAATCGTGCTATACTATATACAATTTATACAATACATACTATCTTACAAAATGCTTTGAAATACGAATTAAAAGATATTCCTAGTACAAGAAACATTTCGACCTCTGAACCCAGGTGGTACGTACGTACGTACAAGAGAATGGATCGTCGGCCTCACCCCCTCAAGTGTTTTCAGAACGTTTCACGACTGAATCTCTCTCTCTCTCTCTCTCTCTCTCTCTCTCTCTCTCTCTCTCTCTCTCTCTCTCTCTCTCTCTCTCTCTCTCTCTCTCTATATATATATATATATATATATATATATATATATATATATATATATATATATATATATATATATATATATATATAATCAAATAAGCACATTTCCATATGTGAATACATGAATATTTTGAACCCCGACAGGTATTCGAACATAGGACACATAATTATTGTGCCATGGCACTACCAACAACACCACAGAAGGTCTTAAAAGGGAAAAAACCTTAAAGCTGTATTTGCTATTCTAGGAATGAACGCATTCTGAGTGGCATTCAGTTAGAATGCATTTATTCCTAGTATAGCAGATAGAGATGTAAGGTTTGTTTCTCTTTTAAGACCTTCTGTGGTGTAGTTGGTAGCGCCTTAGCACAGTAATTATGTGTCCTAGGTTCGAATCCCAGTCGAGGTAAAAATTATTCATGTTTTCACATATGGCAATGTGCTTATTTGATCGTTGTTGGTGCTAAATGAGATTGAGATTTGAATTAAATGTGAAAACAAAGCCACGAGTGAGGTTTGGGGAAACTGTAATATTAACAGAGTGGCATTCAGTTATAATGCGCTCATTCCTAGTATAGCAGATATAGCTGTAAGGTTTGTTTCCCTTTTAAGACCTTCTGTGGTGTAGTTTGTAGTGCCTTAGCGCATCAATTATGTGTAGGTTGGAATCCTGGTCGGGGTAAAAATTATTCATGTTTTCACATATGGTAATGTGCTTATTTGATCGTTGTTGGTGCTAAATGAGATTGAGATTTGAATTAACTGTGAAAACAAAGCCACGAGTGAGGTTGGGGGAAACTGTAATATTAACAGAGTGGCATTCAGTTATATAATATGCTCATTCCTAGTATAGCAGATATAGCTGTAAGGTTTGTTTCCCTTTTAAGACCTTCTGTGGTGTAGTTTGTAGCACCTTAACACAGTAATTATGTCTCCTAGGTTCGAATCCCGGTTAGGGGAAAAATTATTCATGTCTATACATATATTAATGTGCTTCTTTGATTATTGTTGGTCCTAAATGAGATTGAGTTTTGAATTAAATGCAAAAATGAAGCCACAAGGGAGGTTGGGGGAAACTGTAAAATGAACAGAATTGGCATTCAGTTAGAATGCATTCATTCCTAGTATAGCAGATATAGCTGTAAGGTTTGTTTCTCTTTTAAGACCTACTGTGGTTAGTTGGTAGTGCCTTAGCACAGTAATTATGTGTCCTAGGTTCGAATCGCAGTCGAGGTAAAAATTATTCATGTTTTCACATATGGCAATGTGCTTATTTGATTATTGTTGGTCCCAAACGACATTGATTATTTTATTAAATGTGGAAACGAAGCCACAAGTGAGGTTGGGGGAAACTGTAATATGAACAGAATGGCATTCATGTAGAATGCGTTTATTCCTAGTATAGCAGACATAGCTGTAAGGTTTGTTTCCCTTTTAAGACCTTCTGTGGTGTAGTTGGTAGTGCCTAAGCACAGCAAGTCTGTGTCCTAGGTTCGAATCCTGGTTGGGGTAAAAATTATTCATATTTTCACATATGGTAATGTGCTCATTTGATTATTGTTTGTCCCAAATGAGAATGAGATTTGAATTAAATCCGAAAACGAAGCCATGAATGAGGTTGGGAGAAACTGTAATATGAACATAGTGGCATTTATTTAGAAAGTGTTCATTCCTAGTATAGCAGACATAGCTGTAAGGTTTGTTTCCCATTTTAGACCTTCTGTGGTGTAGTTGGTAGTGCCTTAGCACAGTATTTATGTTTCCATCTTCGAATCCCTGTTGGGGTAAAAATTATTCATATATATATATATATATATATATATATATATATATATATATATATATATATATATATATATATATATATATATACAGTGATCCCTCGTTTATCGTGGGGGTTTGGTCCCGGGACCGACCCCGATAGGTAGTAGGATTGCTCTATATACATAGGTACTTTACATTTATTTTTACCTTTACTGTATAAACCCTCCCTGCACTGTTAAAAACCCATCCTTTACTTTAATAATAACACCGTGCAAGTGTAAATTTATATGAAAGTGATAGGTAAACTTACCGTGAATGAGATGATGATGACGTGACATACTCATATACATAGCTATTTTACATTTATTTTTACCTTTACTGTATAAACCCTCCCTGCACTGTTAAAAACCACCCTTTACTTTATAAATAACAGCATGCGAGCGTAAATTTATATGAACGTGATAGGTAAACTTACCGTGAATGAGGTGATGATTACGTGTATAGACTCCAGAGGAAATTATGCCGCAGCCAATGACAGCTTTACGGCTGCTTTTTGCGAGAGAAAAACATGGTAATGGGGAGTTGCTGTCGCTGTTTCTTCTTTTGTTGGAAGATGGTCGTGTAAGGAATCATGGCATCGTCGAGAAGATTGCAGAAGGTAACCGAACGATCCATATTATTATCATATTCTTGCAAGAGTTGTTGGACTGCTTTCACATCTTCATACATGGCTGCCAGACGTTCAAGTGTAATACTAGGTTCTTCAATTTCTTCGTGCGTTTCCTCTGGTTGTTCTTCTTCTCTTCTTCGCTCGCTGATTTTGTCATTTCCTCCAAGTCTTCATCAGTCAAAGGCTGCAAGTGGCAGTCGATCAGTTAATTCACATCTGCATGAGTCATATCTTTAAAGCCTTCTCCTCCTAGCAATGCAGCCAAATTCTCAGCTTTCGCAACTGCAGAGTTATGGACTTCGTCAGGAGCGAATCCCTTGTAGTCGTAGATGACTTCCGGCCACAAGTTCTTCCAGCTGGCATTGATTGTGGCCGGCTTCATCTCATTGATTGCATTCTGAATATTTTGAAGGCATGTAGCAATCGTGTAGTTACGCCAGTAAGTCTTCATTGAGAATTCCTTGTCCGAATCCATGGATTCAACCAGGTTTGTGAGGGCATTTCGTATGTAGAGGGCCTTGAACGCATGAATAACGCCTTGATACATAGGCTGAATCAGTGATGTCGTATTCGGTGGCAGGGACTCTACTTGAACTCCATCATTTTTTAGATTACTTGCGTGGCCACCAGCATTATCCATCAAAAAAAGGACTTTAATTCAAAGCCCTTTTCCACAAGATAAATTTTGACCTGTGGGCTAAAGCATTGGTTAAACCAGTCCGATGTGAGGCTTTTCATGATCCAGGCCATAGGGTTATGCATCCAATACACTGCCAGCAGATTCTTATTCTTATTCTTCAAAGCCCTATGGTTCTTAGACTTGTAGATAAGCCCTGGCTTTAACATGAAGCCCACAGCATTCCTGCACATGATGAGGGTAACGCGATCTTTGTGCACTTTAAATCACGGGGCTTTAGCTTCTTCCTTGAAGAGAAAAGTGCGAGACGGCATTCTCTTCCAAAATAACCCAGTCTCATTTATGCTAAACACTTGCTCAGAAGCATATTCCCCTTCAACGATAATTTTCTTAAAATCGTTGTTCACATAATCTTCAGCTGCAGCTGTATCTGCAGAGGCAGCTTCACCATAAACCGAAACGCTATTTAGGCCATAGCATTTTTGAAATTTGGTGAACCATCCCTTGCTTGCCACGAACGATTGTTTCCTCGGTGGACAATCGCTGGAGGGTCCTGGTTGTGGGTCGTCGATATCTGCTTCTCTCTACTCCTCTCCATGTTCGCCACTGTCGTCGTCGGGTTCGATTGCAGTGAATGTATCATACAGCTTCCTTGCCTTTGTATGATATTGCTGTCTATGGTGATGTTCTTCTTTCTGCAATCAGCAACCCACAGGGCCAAAGCAGATTCCATCCGCACTATTATCTTATTGCGGGGTGTTACGACTCTCTTTGCTGTTTTACTAAATGAAATAGTCGTTGTTTTCCTGATATTTACCTCGTCCTTTTTGATGTAGCGAACAGTATATTCATTGAGGCCTAAATGGCG